TTTTCTCAAGAAATGAGTCGGTGGCTGCTTGGGTCCTTCTTTCGGGCTGCAGGGGACGGGAAGAAGAAGAGCAGAACACGCACATGTGGCTGGGAAAAAGAAAAGAAGAAAAAAAAAAAGAAAAAGAAAAAGCAAATGATCCTTATTTCATTTCCTTTCTTTTTAGTCCCTGAACTTTGAAAATTTTGCTATTAAACCCAAAACAATATTTCTTTCACACATAAGTCCCTAACTTAATTGATAAAATTTCTAAAAATTTGAGATATTACATCCACCCCTCCTAAAAAGGAGTTTTGTCCCCAAAACTCAAATTGAGGATCATTTCGATTGGTGAATGGTTTCATACAACCCAAGACAAAATAGATGCCCCATCGACTTTCTATGGTCAAAACATGACCTATTACGCTTTCGCTGCGTTACTCTGATATCAAACCACAACAATAACAATTCTCAATCTCCACCCTCCCCAATGACCATTTGGGAAGTGACAGATAACTTCACGCCTCAACACAAGTACCTAAACTCGAGATTTATCAGCGTGATTATGTGGTGCCCTTGACTCAAATCAAGACCCGGCACTCATCAAACACAACACGGCAAGGAATCTAATGATGAGTACCACTAAAGATGGAACCCTATCCGAGGTGAATAAGCATCACTCGGATATATAGAATCATGAACAGATGAATGCATGCATATGCATGTATGAATGAATGCCTTTATGCATGCATGTATGAATGCCCATTTGTGCATGCATGTATACGTGAATATGCTCATGTATGTCTATGTTTCCATTCATGTATGAATGCCCAATGAATACTTAAACAAACAGACCTAATGTGGAAGGCCTTATACATCCTACCACAACCAAAATCAAGTACACTATCACAAGGGACCAAGTTTCAAACAAAGTCCTAAGAGCATAGTGAGAAAGATTAATTTCAAAATTTCTCACCAACAGCAGATAACAGGAATTAACTAAATTACTATCTCATCAAAGCGAATCAAAAAATTTAGGCAACACAAATCAGAATCGTCTCTTGTATAACCCCATCACTCGTCTCACCACGATTCTAAAATCCATTGGCTAGCCAAGTCCAAAACAAATCCTAGGTATTTACTTAAACCTAGGCTCTGACATCACAAAACCTTAATCAAACCTAAGCTCTGATACCACTCAATCTGTCACACCCCAAAACCCAAATCCGGGGACGTGGCAAACGCCGTGCACTCGTGAGATGGGTCCCACAAGTGCACAAGGCTCGGAACTTATTCAAATCACAAAATCTCAAGAATAAAATCTAAAACTTATATTCAACAAGAATGGCTAGCCTTCTACCTCATCACTCACCTTGTTTTTCCCCATCTTTGACTTCACTTCCTAAAATGGTGGATAAGGAAAAACTATGAGATAACTCAGTAAGTAAATATGGATAGCCCTTGGGTAAAACTTTTAGCATGCCTGATAAACAGTTTAACATAACAAAACGTTCAATGATAAACCGTTAAAACAAAATCAGATTCAGTTCAGTAACAAAATGTTTCATGACAAATCATTAATGCAGAAGAAAATTCAGTAGTAGTCTTATCTATAAGTCATGGCCAGCGTTTATAAACCTCCCATTGGCGGGCACAGTAGTAACCAATGTTTAACCCCATTGGCAGGGTTACAAAAGTACCAGTGTTTAGCAAACTCCCACTGGCAGGTGTCAGTAATGGTACTAGTGTTTAACAACTCCCACTGGCAGGCGTCAGTAATTACCAATGTATTCGTCCATTGGCAGGCGTCAGTAGTACCAATGTTTAACAAACTCTCACTGGCAAATGTCAGTAATGGTACCAGTGTTTAACAACTCCCACTGGCAAGTGTCAGTAATTACCAATGTATTCGCCCATTGGTAGGCGTCAGTAATACCAATGTTTAACAAACTTCCACTAGCAGGCGTCAGTAATTACCAATGTATTATCCCATTGGCAGGATGAACCGGTTCTACAGAAATACATGTCGACATGTGCTAGCGTCTGCATCTCCCACTAGTGGGCGTCAGTAATCATGACTATATCAGCGACAAAACTATGCAGAATTTACAGAAAATCCATAATTCACAATCGAAATCCGTAATTCACAATCAAATCTCAAATTTCAGAAATAAACCGGAGAATTTCAATGGGCATGCTCAACTTCAAAAAAACAATGAAATTCTCGTTTTCATTCCAATCATGCTCAATTCCAGAAAAACAATGAAATTCCCATTTTCATTCCAATCATGCTCAATTCCAGAAAAACAATGAAATTCCCAT